GCTATCCAGTATGCCACATACTCGCATAGCATGGTTCCTGCACGCTCTGCAACATGTGTAGCAAAAACATCCATATGCTCATATGCACTAGATATCTCTCTGCATATTGCAGCGCGCAAATCTTTCCGTTTGTCAAACTGTAGTGATGATATCATTGTACCTGTTGAGGAGAGTGCGTACAAAGCTTTAATTTCCACAGTGTTCAGTTTATTCGACTCAATAGCACTTTTCGCTTATTTATAATCTGAAATACTCGTCATCTCATTAGTCCTTTGTTTGCATTGTCATTATATCACCAAAATCCACACTATAGGATCTGATGCACTTTCAGTCTCTCCCTTTTTTTTTTTGATCGATGACAACACAAACAAAGCTTACATATTGAAGCATCTGTATGTAAAGCTCCCTGCAAATTTGTGCACGTATGATTTCAACAAGTAAATAACCTCAATGGCACATATGCACAAATTAAATGTAGATAGAACGTGGTGAACTCTTCATATATATAGTTCCGTGAGGTGCAAACGTGTCAATTAAACAAACGTGATGCAATATGGCATGTGATTCATACAAATTAAGAATAAGACAAACACAAAACATCATCACAAGCTATGAACAAAGCAAGCTATAGCACAAGTGTTCCATTAACTAAGCATAGCACAAAGTTCTTACACTTAGCACCACCACAAAGTTCTGACATCACATAGTCCACACATTACATAACACAATGTCTTACTTGCCCACAATACAGAAGTTCTCATCACACATAGATAGGGGATAGATAGATAGATAGATAGATAGATAACATGGTAAAAAAGGATAGGGCGACGAAGCAAAGCGACAATAGCAAATTCTCCACAGTGTTTCATTCTTGGACCCTTTTCTTAACCTTGACCATGAGCCCGTTCTTCATCTGCAGAATAGTCGAGAGCTTTGGCTCAACAGCATGCACTTCCAACACCTCCATATCAAAGTTCCACAGGACGTTGGCGGCGGCGGTCTTCACCTGCATAATCCCGATGTCCTTGCCGAGGCACATCCTTGGCCCCGAGTAAAGATGAGCAACGGGCCAGCACGGCACGGCACGGCCCGAGCCCGGGCCAGGCACGGCCCGATCGGGCTCGGGCCACCGGGCGCGTCTTCAACAGTCCACCGTGTTCGTGGGCGGCCTGTGCACGGTCCGTGGGCGAATATCGGCCCGTGCCGGCCCGTTGAACCCAGCGCCCGGCCTGGTCCATCAAAGCCAGCCCGTGAGTCCGCTATACAAGATAAACACCATATTTCAAACAGCGCAATCACAGGTTCAAACTTCAAACAATCACAGGTTCACATATTCATATTCAACAATCACAGAAACATCAGATGACAAAAGATTTGAGCTGTTTGTGCAATGCCGTCTCATTAAAAACCTTTCTAGGTAAAACTCACACCTCGTGAGATAAAACCCTAGAAAGGAAAAGAGTACGGCCAGCTCAATAAATTAAAATGTTCAAATTGTTCAAAGTTATTACAAACCAGCTAGCTCAAATGTCTCAACTCACAACTAAAGTCCCACTCACAGCCTCTCAGGCTCTCAGCTCTCAGTGATCCAACCATCACCAAAGCAGAGATGATCCACCCGGCTTCATCATCAAGGTAACGCTCTTTGAAGTATTCTTCTAGCTCTTTGTCCTCCACAGTGTGTTGTCCACGGATTCACCTAGCTCCCAGTCTTTGACACAGATTAGCATCTCCACGCTGTCCGCGCCCAATCGCCGTCGCCGCTCCTCAATAATCCTGCCAGTAAGACTAAAGGTAGACTCCGAAGAAGTAGTTGATACAAGAACAATCATAATATCTTTAGCCAAGGTACAGAGAACTGGATAGGTTAGTTTATGCTCATGCCACCAATTGAGGATATCAAAGTCATCATCATATGCCACAACATTGTCACTGTCAAAGTAAACAGTGAGCTCAGAGAGACCAGGAGACACAATAGATCCTGCGAGATGCACTTGAAGGATCAAGAAACCGATCCTCCAAAAATTTTGCCCCATGCCTGCTTTCTCTTACCTGTCAGTCCAGATGGATGGGTGGTTCTAGCTGGCCTAGCAGCACCAAACTTAGATTCATACTTGTCATAGAGTTTATGCAACTCAGATTTAACCTCAGCAAAGTAATCAATGTAACTCATATTGTTACTTAGAGCAAGCAAGTCAAGCACATTTCCCAGACCTTTCAACTTAGCCCTTGGGTCCAGAATAAATGCAAAAGAGTATAACAGTGGTACATTCTTCCAATACTTAAGAAATTTATTCTTCATTGGCACAACTACAGCAGCAAGAGTATTATCATGTTCAAATTCATGCAGATGGGATGCAATCTCAAGTATGTGATGCAGTACCAAAGGACTAGTGGGGTAATAAACACCAGAAAGTACAACAGTTGAATCATAGAACAACTCAAGGAACTGCAATACCTTGTCGAGAATGTACCAATCTTTGTTCATTCAATAGAGGATAGCCAGATCGAGAATTGATGAACATGAAAACACATGATCTATATGGCATGAGATGTTTTAGCATAAGGTAGGTTGAGTTCCATCTAACATCCATATCCAAAGCAAATTTACGAGGCCTCACACCCTTAGCAATGCAGTAGTTTTTGAATTGTGCAATGCGATGATTAGATGAATTCAGAAAGTTAATTGCAGGACCTAAAACCTCTATGTGTGGTTTAAGCCTTTTCAAACCAGATTTAATAATCAAATTAAGTATATGGCAAGCACATCTCTCGATGCACAACATGATAGATCTTTTACTAGGATTCAATGGATCAATATCATAACCCAAGTAACCAGCAAAAGAGAGGACTCAAAGTAAGCATAGCGGATGTATTAGCAGATGCATTATCAAGGCTAACAGAGAAAACTTTGTCAAGTAGGCCCCAATCTCCAAGCACACCAGCAATAATTTCAGCAATGTTAATACCACTATGAGTCACTTCAATCAGTTTAAAGCCAACAACAGCTTTCTTAAGTTCCCACTCAGAAGTAATGTAGTGAGCAACAACAGTGATATAATCTTCCTTAGCATTGCCAGACCAGATATCAGATGTCAAACAAACAGAAGACACACCAGGCATTACTTCATTTTTTAGGTGATGCAGTTTTTCATTGAAAAGCTTAGAAAGATCTCTAGATGTGGTGAATCTAGACACTCTCTTGTATCTAGGATTGTGAGCACGCTGAATGTAATCATCCCAAGCATCATTGTCAGCAATAGATAAAGGCAGATCTAATCTAGCAATCAAACGGCAAAGCTCAGCTCTAGCAACATCAGGCCTATATTCCCAGTTCCTATAAGACCCATCAGGATTCAAAGCAAGCCTAGTTTGAACCAAATTAGCTTTATTCGCTTTTCTTCTTGCATGAGAGCATATGTCTTTTCAAATGACCGGTGCCATTAGCGATTTACATTTGCATAAACGAGACTTACAGAGCTTACAAATAGCAACAACACGTACCTCACCGTCCACTGTCTCTATGATTTCATCAAAGTTAGCCCAGACAGGGGATCGGCGCTTACTAGTGGTGGACGAAGCCAGAGATGCTGCATCGCTGGTGGCCGCAGCACTAGCCGCTGCATCGTCTCGGTTGGTCGGAGCAGCACTCCTACCGAACAAGAGATGAGCAGCATCTCCCATGTCGTCTTCGTCATCGGGGATCTGCCCTGTGGCCCTGAGCTCGTCGTTGATGGTTGGACCATCGTCATCATCACCGGACTCAGAGCCAGCCATGGCAGATGGCACCCACCCAACCGGCACCGTCCCTCAACGCCTCCTGCGGCACCAGCTACACACCGGCGACCTGCGAATCAAAAACACCGAGAAATGGATTAGGGTTCGTGTGATTGCCTACTAGATCTAGGGTTAGGGTTAGGGTTAGGGTTAGAGGTACTTGCCTGCATGGAGACGGAGCCCGGCGCCGGAGAAATGGAAAAGAAGACGAAGACGAGACGGAGAAGAGGCGGGAGACAAAAGGAGATCCCAAGATCCGGTCAGAGTGAGACGAGGAGGGGGGAGAGATCAGAGAAGAGGAGATCTCAACATCCGGCGTCGGCAGCGGTAGCCTGGGAGGTGGACGACGGCAGCGGTAGCCTGGGAGGTGGTCGACGGTGGGCGGCGGGCGGCGACCGGCGAGGCGAGGTGGGGATTAGGGTTAGGGTTTCAGAGCTCAGAGGCGAGGGTGGCGTGGCGGGCGAACGGCTGCGGCCTGCGGGCGGAGTGACCGAGTGAGGAGCGGTAGCCTGGTAGGTGGTCGACGGTGGGCGGTGGGCGGCGACCGGCGAGGCGAGGTGGGGATTAGGGTTAGGGTTTCAGAGCTCAGAGGCGAGGGTGGCGTGGCGGGCGAACGGCTGCGGGCGTGGGCGGAGTGACCGAGTGAGGAGGGGGTCCGCCGGGGCGGGGGGCTTATATAGCCCCTCCAGTTGCTGGGCCTCCACCGGGCCGGCCGTTGTAAAACGGGCCGTGCCGTGCCGCCCGGCGGGCCGAGGCCTCAGCCCAAGCCCGGCCTGCTACGGGCTTTGGGCCAACTGCAATACGGGCTGCATGCACATCTTTAGCACCGAGCTGAACGTCAGGAATTTATGAGAAGGAACGTATTGCAGTTTGCTTCCATCATCCGAGAGCCACCTCTCTGGCCTGTACTCGTGGCAGTCATTGCCCCACACGGGCTCCATTCTTGCCATGGCGTACAAGGAGATGAGGATGGTGTATCGTCGCTTGGCAGTGTATCGTCGCGCAGCACAGTCTTGCGCTCGAACGGGGCTGGAGGGTAAAGCCTCAGGGTCTCAAACACCACAGCCTGCAAGTAAACTAGTTCTTTCGTCTCCTCAGGCTGAAAGGTCACCGTGGGCGTGGCATTTGTTTGTTTATAGGTGGAGGCGGCAGCGGCGGCGGCGGCTTTGCAAGATGCGATGGGCGCCAGCTCCTTGCGGATGCTGGACAAGACGGAGGGGTTCCTAGAGATGTTGTAGAATAGCCACGACAACCCCGCACCGACCGTGTCCCTCGGCGACAAGATAGCCGATGAGGGTTGCCTGGAGCACTTGGTCGTCGTCGCCATAGTTGGGGTCGTTGATGTAGTATGACTGGATGTCTAACGAAGCAGCTTCATCTTCTTCCTCGCCAACTGAATGACGACGGGTCTTCCTTGTCTCCATCATCTTCACGACGAATCCACGTAGTACTGCCTGTGCTGCGGCGATCCTCCTCTCTGGACCAATGTTTAGCCGTCTCATCACCTTCCATATACTAACGCCGGCATCACGTGCCGGAACATGGGCACCTCCATGACGGTGTCCATGGCGTCTGTGACGTCAACAGGCGGCATGTCTGGGGACAGGAGACCAGGGTCCAGACCAATGACTGGCTTAGCAGCCAGATCGAAAGCATACCTCGTGTTCAATTGCTGCATGTCGAACGCCGTTCCAGCGTTCGCCATGTCTGCAAGGAAGGGGAGCAGGCCTTTCCCGACCTTGTCGTGGCAGAAATTAGTGATGGATGCAAGCATCCTTGGATTGCTTAGGATACTCTGCATCTTAGCGCGATGGCGGCGGCAGGACTCACCATCAACTGTGAAGAGGCCTCCTTTCATGACGTCGAAGACCTCTGCAAACTCCTCACCCTTGGGGTAGTTTGCATGGTTTGAAGTGAAGATGTGTCGGACATTTTGTGGGTCGTTGGTAAGGAAGTATTGCACTCTCGTCCCCACTGGTCCGTGCACCTTGTAGTTGCACGTAGAGGCAGAAAGGCCAACTGTGATAAATTCGTGCAAGTTGTTGACGTTGGCAAGGATGCCTGGGAGGATGCCTACTACTGGCCAGATCACTGGGAGAATCGGGCTATTTGATCTTTTATATTTGATATAGAAGTACGATGGAACAAGGAGAGCAGCTATGGGGATCAGTAGTGCTGGAGACCATAGAGCCATTGTTATGGACACGAATGTGTATATGGTGTAGCGATATATACAAGATGGGTTGCCTGATGGCTCTCTATATATAGAAGCTTCAACCCTTGTGCAGTGTACAAACGCATGCCCACACGTGCTATCTACCTGCTATCTGCCATTTTTCCGCTGATGGTTGGGCCCACGTCGCCTGAATTATATGCCCGCGTTTCCTTCACCTAATCATCTATACAAAGTAGCATTTAGAACATGAAGATGTTATAGCAGATCTTCTATCTCATCTCTTATGCGATAATTTTAAAAGATCTCCTAAAAACAACCACCTTTCTCCTAGATAAAGGAGATGATTACCTCATCCTAAATTTATTTTAAGCTACTGTCATAAAATAACTTATAAGAGATGCAATATAAGAGATCTGGTAAAGTTGCTCTAACCCTCGAAGCCATGAACCCTCACATTTCATGCACCTAAAGCCATGCATTTACAGTTGCTTCGGTAACACAAACAATGAACACCTAAAGCCATGCATTTACTGTAATAGTACCTTGACTAGTTGAGTAGAATAATTCGACTAGTTGCTTACCTTGTGTAGCTCGATTAGTTGAGTAGCATAATTCAAGTAGCTTACATTGAGTGCTATAATGCTTAGCTTCACTATGCCAGAATTCGTAATCACTATCGTACTATCACTGTCGGTTTGTGGTTTCAATCGACAGTGATAGCACAACCGGCAGTAATTGGTGGACTATGAATACCGGTTCATGGCTTTAACTAGCAGTGATAGACATGATACTATCACTGTTGGTTGAAGCCACGAACCGGCAGTGATAGGTCCACGTTCGTGGCTTGAACCGTCAGTGATAACTACTTTGCACAATAAAATTATACTTTTTCACATGAGATCAGATTAAGATAAACTTTATATCAAAATTGTAGAGTTTAAAGAGATCTAAACTTTGTTGTTGATGGCTTTTTAATTTGAGATATTTTCGAAGTTCGAAATATTCAATATATGTTCTTGGATCATATTTGACATGATTAACAATATCGAATGGAGACAAAGTCAACATCAAACTTGTAGTACTCGATGAGATCAACAACTTTGCAGTTAACAACCTTTTCATTTAAGATTACTTTGAGTGTCAAATATATAATACAAAATTAAAAATTTGTAGTTAAAAGAATAGCATCGGCTGTATAGTTACATGTGTGTCATAGCTCATCTGGTATGAGCGCTTGAGTTTGTATCTTAAAAACACGTATTTTGTATCTTTTTATCACCTGTCACTGCCAAGTTCTTGAACTGGCAATGGCTCGATTTCTGGTAGTGACTCATGACTGTCGGGTTAGAGTAAGCAACAGTGATAGGCAAGCCCCAACACTGCCACTTGCCCCACCGCCGACTGTTTTCTATCTTTTTATCACCTATCACTGCCAGGTTCTAGAACTAGCAGTGGCTCGCTGCCGGGTTAGAGTAAGTGTCAGTGATAGGCAAGCCCCAACAATGCCACTTGCCCATTGCCGTCTTGTTTTCTAGTAGTGATGAGAGGTTAAGACCCAGGAGTGTGATTGTGTGTTCCGGGGTAGTGCTTGTTATTCTTCTTGCTACTAGAATTGTATGCGGAAGGCTTGCTTTGAAGTGCTAGGTTAGGCTTCTAGTTTCTATTAGGGATCATTTTTGTGTCTAACATTGGTGCCTAGTGTTTGTGTTTTTGAAGAAATTTTAAATAGGTTATTCACACTCTATAGCCGTCCATTAAATCCTTTCAACAATTCTACGAGCGTTAACCATATGCCTAGGGACCTAGAATGAATGTGGTTGTGAAGATAGATTTCTTTCGGTAGGTTTTGCATTAATAATTGGGACCTTGAATGAATGTGGTTGACGCTGTGCTAGGTGCCTGATATCAATTGGCTTCCTCAGGTATATTTTCAACAGTTGTTTTATTGTGACATGATGTGCATTCTTTATTGTATGAGAAACAAATACAATATCAATATGTGGTTAAGAATTATCATAGAAAAGTATTTTCATCAACTATACATTCATATAGTTAATACGAACCATTAAGTTTTAGTTATTGGGGTGACCGTGGTGGTGGTGTTTGTTTTTCTTTTCTTCGCTGTAGGCAGCCTCTCAGCGTTATCAGCATGTAATTTATGTTATGTTAATAGAGTTCATTAAAAAAATAATTGAGAACAAACAGTTTCACACACTCGTGGGTAGAAATATAGTAAGCCCATAACTCTTAATAGCAGAGCTCTAGCTGGATTTTTTTTTCTTCTGTGTCCACAACATGGACACGTCCAGTGTTAATACTAATGTGTTCCATGTCCGTATGTCTCCATTAAAAGTATTCTCTCACCTAACTTATTTAATAAGGATTGAGCAATCTGTTAAAAGTATTCTCTCACCTAACCTATTCCACCAACACTCTAAAGCTAGTGATCATGACCACTAGAACCCATGCTTTTCTTGGTTAATTAATACTGGCTCCGTTTTAAATTGTAGAATGTTTTGCTTTTTGTTACATATTCTTAGTATATATGTAGACATAGTGTATATCTAAATATCATACAATTTAGAATGAATGGAGTACAAAATGGAGTGGTGTTTAGATATAGAATAAAATAAAAAGGATTATTCAGATGTTCCATATGTTTTGTTACTAGCAGCTAATACTCCGTATTATATATTATTGCTCAGAGCATCCTTATTACGCTGGTCTAACCAGGCCAGAGAATTTGCCACATTAATACTTACACTGTGGGTGAATGCCTGTTACAGAATGATGCATGTACCTAAGCTCTAGCTTTAATGTTGCTTTCGGTGAGTAAGTGCATGAATACTGACAGCGTCATTGTTGATAGCACTGAACACCGAGGTAGTCGATCTCGACGGTTCTAAGTCATGCCTGCCTCCTCCCCTAGATATCGAGCCTCGTCGTTGATTCGAACTCCTATGGACACCAGACACGGGCGACCTGGTGGTTGTTTTTAGATAATGGAAAATATCATCTGACTTCATTCAACTTAAGACCTGTTTGAATGCACTTTATTCACCACAATTCACATGTGTTGAAGTGGATTGGAATCAAAATTGAAGCTAACAGAGGAATCAGGCCATACTTATTACAAGGAATAACATTACAAGGTTCATAACAAAAATATTCTTGAATGATATCCTTCGCTGTTAAGTTTCCCTATTGCTTCACTACGCTAGATTCGCACAGTAGCAATGGGGACGTTTTTACTGTAAGGACGGCTGGGGTTGGGGGCGCCCCTACAGTAGGAGTCCTCGGGCCGGCCGCCCCTATAGATGGCACTGTAGGGGCGGCTGGTAACCTGAGCCGCCCCTACAGTTGGGGCTTATCTATAGAGGCGGCTCAATCATCAGCTGCCCCTGCAGTGCCCATTTGTAGGGGCGGCTGTCACCAGCCGCCCCTGCTGTTCGACTGTAGGGGTGGCTGAATCACCAGCCACCCCTACTGATGGCGCACGAATAAATAGCAGCCACCTCTTCTTCCACCTCGGGACACACTCTTCTAAAAAAAGTTGGGAGGCCTTTGGCTCCTCCTAAAAATTGCTCTATTAAGGGAGGAGGTTTTGATCTTAAATCCTTTGGTGGAGAGGCTCTAAAAGGTAAGGAAATGCTTCTCCAACTCTTTATTTAAAGTTTAATTCGTTGGTTAGTGAGTAATTTGATTTTTTTTGTTTTCTCTCTCTTCCATGGAGCTTGAGCTAGTTATGAGTGAAATTGGACCCTAATTTTTACTATACTAGGGTAAATTAGGTAGGGAAGTAAGATTGCACCCTTTGTTAGTAAATCTTTGTTGATTTTAGTGTAGTATTAGTGAAGTTTGATGCATGTGTCATGAAACCCTATATCTAGATCTAGATCTAGGATTTTGTTTTTTTTTCTTTTTCAATTTTTTCTTTATATGACTAGGGTTTGCATGTAGGTGAATATGTAAGATTTTAATTGTTGCTAATGTGTAAAATATCCTCTACAATGACTATTAATTATCATTTAATATTTATTTTGATTCATTTCTATAATGTTGTTTTTAATTAGTTATGGATAAATAGGCCATTAATTAATTATCCTCTACCATGAAATTGGAATGGAGTTTGCATGAAAGGTAGTGGATGAAATATTAAATGTTGCTAATTATTTTCTTTGAAATTGTTTATTTGAACCAATTAATTTATATTTTAAAATATTTATGCATTAATAGTCAATTAATTAACTATCCTCTACTACCATGGTGCGTGTCTTAGGTATATACAATTATTCTCGAGTAATATTCTTTCTTTGGTTGTTTTGTTTCTATAAGATGGACTACATGAACTCTTGGATGTATTGTTCGTTAAGACACGACGCTCTTTTCCGTGATGAGGTGGACAAATTCATCAAAGCCGCAGAGAAGCATGCAGCGACGCTGAAAGAGAATAGTGACACGATTATTTGTCCCTGCAAAGATTGCAAGAACCTTATTTCATTTCGAGATGTGAGTACCATCAAAGAACATCTGATTAGGAGACGATTTGTTCTGGACTACACAGTGTGGATTCATCATGGTGAAACAGTGGTTGTTGATGACAGCGACGATGATCTAGATAATGAAGCTGAAACCCAAGCATACTTGTCCCGATTCACAGACGATCTTGAGCAACAAATGGATCGTGATTATGGCAATCAATAGGTGGCTTTGGCAATCAACAAGGTGGTGGCTTTGGCAATGAACAAGGTGGTGATGATGCTGGTGGTGCCAGCAATGATGGCGAAGCACGTGAGGGGGATGCAGATGACGGTGACAACTTGGACGAAATGCTTGGGGCCTTTGGACCAGAAATATTAGAAAAGAGCAAGAGAGGTCTAAAAAATCTTGAGAGGGTGACAAAAGCATCGAAGAAGACTGTGTATGATGCTGAGAAGGGCTGTCCAGCATACTTCACACTGCTACATTTTGTGCTTGAGCTACTCATCCTGAAGGCTAAGTACGGCTGGTCGGACTGC